GAGGTAGATTCCATCCGTCTTCACAACCCCATTCGGTGTGCTCAGAAACAATTTGTGCAAGCACTTAAGCTCCCATGGCTGTATTGCCGACAAGTGACCTATCATGAACATGTGAGCAAATGATAATTGGGGCTTATTTGGGATACAAACTGTTGAATACTTAAATTGCTTTTCCCTTTCCGTAGTAAGTGCTTTCCTGTCACTAGTCATTTACATTGTGTTGTGATGGTGTGATTATGATATACTGAAAACGAGCTCGATTGCCAATTTGTTCGCAATATATATAATATTACGATGTATTCGCATGATTACGAACCACTAGAAATGAGCTTGTTCTCCAGTCTGACATTGGTATGTCTCTCTCTCTGTCTCTCACTGTTTCATCGATCGACAGATGAGTCTTTCCATGAGTCATACACCACTGTACGAACTGCCGATTCACGATATCCCATCTGGTGGTGTGCACGAATTTATGGAACGTGGGAATACGGACGAGTCGAATGTGTTCATTTTGATCGCTCATCCGGTTCGAAAAGTGGAGGACAAATGGAAACAGTTTATCAGTGTGTATCGAAGAATGCATCGAGTGACAGACGGGGATGCGGAAATCGATCGAAATTTGTTGTATCGTCGATGTGGTGGAAATAGTATCAGCACATCCATGACCGTGAACGATTCCATGATCAAGGTGAGCAGTGCAAAAATTGTTTTCATTTTTTAAATTGGATTGATTTCACAACACTTTCTATCCTCGATATTAAGGCTCATGATCCACAGGGAGAAAGGTCGCATTGGAATCTTTGTCCTTGTTGAATACGTGATGTTGGAGGAAATGGTAACAATCCGGAGCCAAATCTTCTGGTATTTGGAATTGTCGCAATGAGCTCCCGTGAGTAGATTCCGCTGGTTGGGAGACGTGTCGTCCAGTTGTATGCCTTATCATGATCTGCTTGCATTTTCTGATTCAATATGGACTCGACCACACTAAGGTTATAAAATGACATGAAGACGAGGTGTAAAGAACGGACAGGAGCACAGACTGTGCCAATCATTTTTCGGGCTACAGTTCAAGAAACTATCTATAGCTAGTTGCATGGAGTTGAGAAGAATAAGTTCCTTGATACCATTTTTTCAGGTGGTTGGATTATTTAGAGTACTAGATTTTTGCACAGATACACGTTGCCTCCTGTTTGTTGACTATTTCAGTTCGAATCCCATTTCTTACCCCTTAGGCAGGGCCAGTTTTCAATCTGTTGTAACCGCACAGGATTTGCTCGATACTGCATTTTCAAAGGATCGTCTTTGGAGTAACGTTTTTCGTCCGGATAGGAACTCCACATGTGGTGAAATAGAACATAGCTGGAAGCTTGAAGGAATTCGTTTATTATGAAAAAATCAAGGTTAATTACGGTCAAGAGAGAGAGAGTGAACATGGGAACGCATGTACCCGATGATTGGTTGATCGGATTGTTGTCAACCATCTTGATTGGTTGGCGATTCCGACCAATCACCTGAGTTAGCCTGTCCTTATTCTGATGGGTTCTCTCCGGACAAAGAAGTTTTCAGGGAGCCTGCTGTCTCGCTGACACAATCCATCGTATATTTATATATTTTCTTTGCGTTGCAAGATTACCAGCCTCATTGTATTTGATTTGTTATTACCATTTGTATCATTGAACTATTAGGCACATGGACAGATAAAAACCCGGCATTAATTAACTCAAGTTATCTGCAGCAGTTTTCTTCAATCGAATTTTGTATTAGAACGTCTTGATGGGTGGAGGAGGGGTCAATTACTCTAAACGAATTATTATAATAAATTGAATCCATGCAGGTATCGCTCTAATCGTCTATTTAATGTGTATTGACGATTGTATTCCGTCTGGGGCAGGAAGCATTTGAGTTTTGGGTGGCAGACTGCCTTTGCCCACACACATGTGAGGTTGACTACTTCCCGTAGACCAGTTCCAGCATTCGCTCACAAATCGATATAATCTTCTTCTATGATGCATTTATTTCGTTCACTGTTAACCTGGTTGATGGTATTTTAATTTTAATGGTTAGTGAGTGTACCGGACCGTCATCCAGTGGTTGAGTGACTTGTAGATACGAAACCCAAGTCCGATTCCAGATAACGAGAAATCGATAATCTACGTGTACTATAAGCTGGCAAAAATGTACAAAATCAAGCACCATACCTCAAGTTGTGGGCCAATCCAGTCTCCGCGGTACAAGAACAAGATACAAAGAGGGCCAAGGCGCAGAACAAAGCTCCCGCGGAGCGGTCACCAACAGGAATGCAAACTATGTACAGAAACGGGACAATTTAAGGGATAAAATCACCAATCCTAAGTGCTCGATAATGGAGTGCAGTCATTGGTCAATGCGAGGGACACAAACAGTCTACGGGATCCTATAGAAGCACGCAGTCTGCCAAGCAAATGAATCGAACGATCAAATATGAGCATCAACGTAAAGTGGACGGGATGAAAATGACGCAAATGAGTGTTTAGCAGATTTGAAGTTTGTATGGCGATTAAGAAAAGTTCAGCAGCCTCGGTGGGTTTCGAACTCACGCATGGACGCCGCCTACGCTTTGCACGCGCACGCTCTACCAGCTGAGCAACGAGACCACACCGATGGCACTGATCTTTTCACATTCGATTTACCCATCCAACTTACAGAGGCATGTGGCATCCATCAATTAACATGTAAGCTGAATACCCCGACAGGTTTTCCTTAGAATTCACCGGAGTCCACCGAATGAACATCTAAGACAAGGCTAACTGTGCAAATGAGTGTTTGGCAGATTTGCACAATCAGCCTTGTCTTAGGTGTTCATTTGGTGGGCTCCGGTGAATTCTAAGGAAAATCTATGAGGGCGGAAAATGACGCAGAACAAAACGCAGGTGGGAGAACAGATCCAGGGTATTTCGTGTGTAATGACGCACGAGATTGGGAAGCATGGTACAGCGAGAGTTCAAGGACGATAAGCGTAGATGACGCGCAAATGAATAGGACGAGGAACACTTAGAAGCGGTATGCGAACAATAACAACAAAGTAAAAAGTATGTCATCGGACCAAATCGGAGTATGAGGATGGGTAAAGTACATTTTCAGGTCGTCTGTGTAATGGGTCACATGGGTGCACAGTTAATCGAATCGAACCGGAGCAAAACATGGCGTGATTAGTTTTTCCGATCAACTCAATTCAGTGAGTTTAACCGTGGATCAACCCAAGATTTACTATTTTTTGGATTGTAGCAGGAGTCAGGGTAAATTTGCTTCCGTTTACTAGCGAAAATGTCTACTACAGGCAGATGAAAATCTACACTTACTTGTTGGTGGTTTCAATCATGTAAGCATTTCTCCCCTGCTTCCGTTTAGTCTGTCTGGCCTTTCTCATTCTCCTACCAGAGGTAGTTCTGTGCTGGACAGAGTGATCACAAACCATCCCAACTTATTCTCTCTCAATCTAATGGCCCCGGTTTCTACCAGGGACCATAGTATTCTTCTTGTTAGACCGATTTTCAACTTGTGTAACGGCAGAATTACCTCACCCCTTTTTGAAATCACTTTGAAGGCACAGAGAATTGGCCTACAAATCTCATTATGCTTTAATTGTAAAGTACTACTTTGATTTAAATACGTCTCATGGCTTGCTGACTATTTCACAGAGAGGGTCCAGTGCACCAAATTAGGAAGGAGGACATCAAAACCTTAAAAATTCTGGTGTTCTTCAAGGTGCTGTTCTATCTCCACATCTTTTTCTGCCTTTATTCGTGATCTTTCGGTCCCACTCCCTGCGCACATCCAAAAGTATGCTGACGACGTCGTTTTATGTCAGACAATTTCATCTCCTTCGGAATTTTCTTGCTTCTTTGAATATCTATCCTACATCCAGCAGTTCTCTAATCAATCTGGTCTCAGTCTTAACATATCTGAGTGCGTAAACTGTATTTTCAGTATTTCCAGCTCCTCATTTCCAACGAACTCTGCTACCCTTAACTTTGAACCTGTATCCAGAATGACTTCAGTCAAGTACCTGGATGTTACCATCGATAGCAATGTTCTTTGGTCCACACACATTTACAATTGTATGAGAAAACTAAGACGCCTATCTTTTCAGTTAAACAAACTCAGGCAATTATGAACCCCACAGTCAGTCCTGTCATCTTTCGTTCACCAATGCGTTTACCCATTCTACTCTACTGCTTCCCGGTCTTTTAAAACAAGACTTCAAAACAATTCGTCGTGGTTTGCTGATCACCAGCCGTGCATCAATAATCCCAATCGATTAACTAATCACAGAACTCATTGATGGTTACATCGACTCTTGTGGTAAATTTGCCGATAAGATTCTAGGTGACTCTCTTCATCCACTGCATCCTGATCTGTCATCTTGTCGTTCCCATTCGTCCACACCTTTCTCATTTCGGCATCTACCGTCTCGCATATACATTTATAAGAATTCCCCCGTACCCTATCTGGTCCGACTTCTAACCAAAAAGTAACAGGTCGCAAGTGAACTACGTCAAAAGTTTTGTACATGAAACAAACTTCAGAGGCATTCTTTACCTTGCCTGTTGTATGAAACTATATATTTCATTCCGCGTGACAAACAGTTTACATTTTTAACTGAAATGCAAGCCTATAAACTTACACAAGTTGCATAAAAAGAAATACTGATTTTCGCCACTCATCAATGACTTACTCTTTATCCCACCGACCAACATTTTTTAAATATTCTGATGTGATTCTGTGCCAGGTCAACTCAAACTTACTTTACTGTGGTTGACTCCTGGGAGATGATAGACCGGCTTCATGGAAATTTCATGAAATTTCTTGAGAGCTACTTACAGGAAACGTCTCCAGCGTCATCCGGTTTTAGATCGAGGTAGCAACTCTAGCCTTTGCACATCCAAGAGCTAATTGCAAGACAGCAGGACGGTAGCGCATGTTGCCGTTGGCCCTCGTCGGGGAAGGGGCGGTGTGTGTGTGCTCAAACGCCATTGGCAGTTTATAGCTGAACGGGCGTCAAGGCATCCATGATGAGTACGGAGTCATTGCCTTAACCGTTCAGTCGTGTCAAGGACTTCGTATACCCAACGCGCATTCATTCATGATACACCGGCTCACCGGAAGTTGAGCTCACGGTTACCCTTAACCTGGTTTGGTCCACCTGTCAAGCGGTTTGCCGTGGGGTGTTCGCTGTTGCATCCAAACAGCTTCTTGGAGCCACATGTAAGAGCGCTGAGCGCCTGGTGGAGACAAAAGAATGGAGGGTGCCTCAAAAGGACCGGCAGCCCTCCGAGTCCAAAGTACTACTCCCACTGGGTATCCCATACACACCCATCTCAAACCAGCCTTATACGGAATGATTTTCTGACAGTTTAGCACAAATGCAAATATTCTCTAACCATTCCGGTTTCAAATTAAATGCAACTAATTCTTTCGAACGCATTTTCAATCTTTCTCAATCTGAGTGTCCCTTGGGACTCAATAATCATCTCGCTATCCATGAGTAGAATACACACACCACCGAATATCCAGGAGAGTGATGTACGGTGTTCCTCCCATGTACAAAACTGTGTTGGTAAATTGCGTCTCATCCTTTCAGATGCACAAGTTACCGGGCGGTGGTGGCCCGGTATTAACGTCTCCAAATTATCACCTCGGGGATGTGTTCGAATCCCACCACTACCGCCTGAGTTCTCCCAT